CTTAGCATGTGTTCTTTGCAGGTGTTTGTTGAGGTTTGACGTGGTGTTTACAGCAGTGGATAACAGCTTCTGGCCTTACTATAGTCTGACTCCATGAATGATTTAAAGTTATTTAAATCACGCTGCTATAATTAATTATAAGAAACTAAAGACTAAAACAAAACTCTGAAAGGGCGTGATTTAAATAACTTTAAATCATTCATGGAGTCAGACTATAGTAAGGNTTGGATGATAGTCCTTTTTTGTGTGTTTTGGACTGAGATAAATCATGGGTTAAAATTGACCCGCGAACACCATGAACGGTAACAGCTTTCGAACACAACACAAGGGTTAATGCCAGTGTTTCCCTTTAATTACCCAGACTGTGGCGGCCTGCCATAATCCAATTTCCCCCGGAAATATTTGTACACTTCTCCACAGGTGGGCTGAAGCTTGGAGGTGCACTTTGTCTTTATGGCAACGTTGCAGGTTTAATCCCACTTCATATCAAGACACGTTCATCGTCATGTGTGAAGTTAAAAACCAGTTTGTTTAGAGTTAAATTCTTAATTTGCCTTCCTCTCTGAACACTGTACATTTACAAGGACGAGCAAGAGATTAATATACAAAAGAACAAAGTTATTTTAAGATGTAAGTTTAGCTTTCTTTAGTACACCAAAACTGATGACGAAATGTACAAGACTTTTGTACAAGTGACCGTGCCCCCGAACACCTGCATGGTCAACGCACTAGTCTCAAATAATCAAATGGAAAACACTGAATAGCAAAAATTCACTTGATTTTTCGCCAAAATGCCAAAGAGCCTTTTAAGAGAGAGATAAAAAGGCTATAAAATCATCTTTTGGGGGTTATGCAACTTGTTTTCTTCTTTCTCTCAGGTTGCAAGCGGGATAAAGACGGCTATTACTGGATCACAGGAAGAATAGACGACATGCTGAATGTGTCAGGTACTCAACTGATTTACTGCCTGATAACACAGTCTGCTTCAAACGCCCTAAATACAAAGGCATTACAAAACCAAGACACTTTTAATTCTACCCTTTTATGTAATTCAGAACAATAACAAGAACATCAGAATGAGTTAGTCCCACAGAGGGGCAAGTTACATTGTTACAGCAGAAAAGAGCCAAAGGCAGCTTAATGTTACCTAAGAAGCATGCATAAAGAAATATTAAAGATTAAAAAAGAAATTATAATAAAAAAAGTTACACAATTTACAAAAAACACATCCTGTAACAGTTCTGAGGACTTAGCAGCCAGGTATATATTGCAGTTATTAACGGCATATATATATATTGCACATAGTTGGTATTTAACAACAAGGAGTGTTATAGTCTGTGTTGTTATCATATATTTGAATTTAAAGCCATTTCTTTTCACTTTCCTCCCCAGAAACGTGTTGATTATTCCTCTCCTATGTGTTTTGCCCCTCTTTACTTTGTGTTGTGTTTGTGTTCAGGCCACCTGATGAGCACGGCGGAGGTGGAGGCGGCGCTGACGGAGCACCCGGCAGTGGCGGAGGCTGCGGTGGTGAGTCGGCCTCACGCGGTGAAGGGAGAGTGTCTGTACTGCTTCGTCACCCTGAAGCACAGCCGGGAGTTCAACCACACGCTGCAGGACGAGCTCAAGAGACTGGGTGAGGCTGTGAAGAGTTTTTGTTGGATAACTGTTTCTCTTTCATTGTCTCTCTTGGTTTATATCGGAACAATCCCTGATATGAAATGGGATTTTTAGATCCATAGCTACATTACACAAAAAACATTTTCAAAAGCTATTGGTGAAGAAAAAGGTTAGTGCAACTATTGTGTTTTCTTATGCTCACAAAAATGTAGATTTGGCCTGAACATGTGTTTAACTGTACACCATGCACAATAATGCTCAGATTGTTCACAAACTAGCTGACTGAACAAACACATTTGAATGAAAACAGTTCGTTAAAAGTAAATACAATAAGTCCAGAAGATCTTTATCTGACCAGCACTAATTCCTTCCCATTTTTCAGTGAGAGAGAAAATTGGACCAATCGCCACGCCGGACTTCATTCAAAACGCTCCAGCACTCCCGAAGACTCGCTCAGGTAAACAGCTCAACAACACAATCCTCCTCTTCCTCTCATTTAGTAATAATAATAATAATAAAGCTTTAATTATTTAGCACTTTTCATACAACACGTGCAGCTCAAAGTGCTTTACAAAAGGACACATCGCAAGTAAGAAATAAACACCAAGAAATTCCAGACCTGTACATACAGCAAAATATAACATTTGATCAGGTTAATAGACACAAGGAGGTCAAATGTATGATAATACAAATAAAATAAATAATGGTTTCTCTCTGACGGATAAGACACAGACAGTTGAATCGATGCAACAATATAAAACCCCATTAAACAAAGTGCACATATAGGAACAGAAATACAAATATAATAGTAATAAAAATGCCATAATTCGAATAAAGGTTCAAGGATTAAGAAAAAAAAATAATAAATATTGCTATTGAAGCATGTTGAGATTAATAAGATAAAATCCTTTAAGATCTATAAAATAAATAGAATAAATCACTAACACCTTCTGACTGGATTTATTTTCAGGAAAGATCATGAGGCGAATCCTCCGGCAGATCGCCCGCAACGAGAAGGACCTGGGCGACCTCTCCACCCTGGCCGACCCCAAGGTGGTGGAGGAGCTGTTCAGCCAGAGATGTGAAGCTGCAGCCTGAACACCTTCCTCCTCCTCCTCCTCCTCCCCCTCCTCATGCAATGCAACGATGAAGACCATCGCAATCTGCTGCTTCTAGATCAGCGTCTGTCCACTCTATGGGACTGAATTAAAGGGCTGGGATCAGATACTGAGGCGTTTAAATTTGTTTTATGTAGATAAAAGAAAGTAGAATGACGAGTAGTCAAAGAGGCATTAATGTAAACGTGTGAATATATGGGGGCTGCTTTGCGTTTGGGCCAAAATGTCAAACTAACTGAACACAGAATTGCTATCTTTTATATATTTTATAAGTCTTTTAGTCTCCTATCGTTATTTCCTCTCTTTTTGAATCTTGAAATAGTAAAGTCAGCTTTGCACAACTTGTTTTTTGACTGACACCTGATGTATATTTTCAATTCTGTGATGTCTCTATGACCTGAGAATGAAGTGTTGAATCTGTCTAGTGTCCTTTGTCCTTGTACCTGGAGCTCAGCAGCTCATTGGCTCCCTCATGTGGCAGGAATCGTCCTCTACAGCTGATATCTGATGCTTTATTGAAAACCCTTTCTTACGCTACTTCTAAGTCTTTCTAGAAGCCTTTTGTCTTATAGTGATGTATGGAGCACACACACTTAAACACACACTCACAGGGCTAAAGTGCAGCGAGTATGGGGGACAAAGACCGCAGGATGAGAGGAAACAAGAGGGCGGTTTTATCTTAAGTGCACTGGATTACTTAGAAATGTACAAGGATTTGTAGTCTTAAAAATAAGGAAAAAGATCGACAGTTTTGTCATAAAAGTAGCTCAGAGGGTCAATCTGTGGACTTCCTTTGTTTCATTTAATCTGTCTCCTCCACGTGCATGCAGCGAGGCGTGTGTGTGTGAAACACGGGGATGGGTAATATTACATCATCACCCCCAGCAACGGAGAACGGGTTTCCATGACAACCTCCTTACCCCCACCTCCTTCAAACCCTCTTCTTCCTCTGACCACAACAGCAGTCTGCAGATGTTTTGTAACCTCACAACGTCACAAAGATAAGATGTTTTTTTGGCCTCTCTGGACCTATTTCAAGTAATTGAAAGCATAACATGTTTTTATTAACAACAATATACCATTTTAGGCGTCCGTCAAAAACCGTTTTAGTAAGCTGTTGATTTTTGATCATTTAAGAGGGTTTAACAATGCTGTTGAATTTCACATTATGCTTAGAAATGAAAGTAATTTATAACTGTCATCCTCCATTTCATCCTCATACTGAGTCATACACACTCCAATCAAAACGTCCAATTCAAAGCCACAATACCCATCACCACCCTACAAAAAAGCTCCAAGCATTAAGAAGAGAATTAAGAAACATAAAAACACACATAAGGCCATAGATTTCCAGTCTAAGGAACAAGACTACATTCAGCCAATATTTCCACAAAATTCCTCCATAGTTTGTAAAAAAAAAAGAGGAAATGGACTTGGTATTAAAATCATTCAATCATACATTAATTGATCAATCCTAGAATAAAATGTGTAAATGTAACTAATATTAAGAGCTATATTTACAATGCAATCAGAATCAGTTCTGTAGTCTACATTATATTTTATTTACTTGCACATCTGTTTTATTGTGTTGCACTGTTGGAGGAGCCCGTGAGCTAATCATTTCATTGTCATAACTACACTGTAGCTATGTACACATGACAATACAAGCCTTGAATCTTGAACTATTTCTGTTATATTGTATTTAAAAGACACACTGGCAGTTATTTTCTGCACAACCCAATCTTTATAGATGCATGCAATCTAGATTATATACATTTTTACAATACCAGAGCCTTCCTCATTCAGTGTGTGTCTTATTGTAATCACAATCTGATGTTTGGAGTGTGTGTCGCTGTCTGTCCACTTCCAGCTGACTGTCCCTCCGTCAGCAGCTCCCTGCCCACATCGATGCTTTAGAGTCACAGTTTGTGAAATGTAATCTCCTTAATCCATTTACAGACACAAGGCCGCTGTGTGTGAAACCTGAGGCGGATATTCAATGGGGAAAGTATCAGATATAAGTGTTGGTAACATTTCATTTGACCATGTGATGTGGATGTTTCTGATTTTCTTTATTTAAGGAACTCTATGAAAGTTATTTCTTAAAAAGTAACATCCAACAACTATTCAAATCTATTATTTCTTCATGAAACATTCAAAACATGCACAAAGTATTTAACATCCAATTTAAAACTTAATAAGTTATTACATTTTTAATTAAAATACACTTTTGGTGGTTTGGTGACGCGTACATTTTACATTCCGTTTGAATGTGTTTTGAGCATTTTAGCAAAAAACGAATTTATACAAAAGACAATACTGCAAATACATTTTAAATGAACATGTTTCTACAGTACACTGTTTTGGAAGGAAAGCAGAACATTATTACATGTGTGAAGCGTTGTCACTCCTCCTCAACCCCGAGCTGCCGGAGGAGTACATCCCAAAAATAATCCTCTGTCATTGTTTTGGATGTCAGACTGGCTCAGAGGTGGTGTGAGCCGGAGGTTTCACCACATCTTAGCCTGTGTGGATGCAAGGCCCCACTGTGAGGTGTGTGTGTGTGTGTGTGTGTGTGTGTGTGTGTGTGTGTGTGTGTGTGTGTGTGTGTGTGTGTGTGTGCGTGCGAGCATGGGCACATCCAAAGCAAATTGCACAAACAAAAGGAGAATCAAGGAGGCTCCAAATGAATGGCGTCTTTTTGTTTTTGCTTTTCAAAAGACAGACAGATGGTGTAACTGAACTTGAAGCCTGTTGGACATTTTTTACTTTGAAATGTTACTGCATGTTGAAGAGGAGGGAATTGAGATAGCTGAGGTCAACCACAGGTTACAAATCAGCCAGAAAATGAAGCATACACTAATAATACTGAGCAGGGAGCAAGACATTTGGTACATGTCTTGTATATTTTGAATATTCCCTTTTCCAGAGGGGAATACATGAATGTTGATGCTTCATTATTACTATTCTCCACTACATTTCGAAGGGGTATATTGTATTTTTTTTATTTGACTACATGTATTTATCAGTTAGTTACAAATTACTAAAAGCATCTAATTATACGGATACAAAATGCAAGGCTTTGTAAAGATTGACTGGTTGGGGCCCCGGTGTATAAAGAGATCTGGATACAGCGTTGGAGGCGGGGCCTGTTCGGTGGCGCATGAAGCCCAAATCGCTCAACTGCTGAGTATAACATTAGTGAAAACTATTATTTCTGGTTCTGCTGCATTGATTCTAAATAATAGATTTCAAACTGTCCGTTGCAAGTCTGAAAGGGATATATTAAAGTATTCTTTTTAGAGAAAAGTATTTATTGCAATGCTGAATCTGAGGAGTACTCTTTTAAAATGTTAAAACTAGTAAACAATCAAGAGCATTGTCTCAACATTACCCACATTATTCTATTAACCCAGCTTTACTGATAAAACTAATACTTTTACTTAAGTTAATACTGAATGCACAACTTTTGAGTATTTTAGATTTTTCTGTTGAAACTTCGAAAGGATCCGAGTACCTCCTCCACAACGCCTACAAATCATAAATATATTCAGCCGTAAACTGGTTCTGTGTATTGTGAAAACATTTTCCTTGCTGAGCATATTGTTTCTGATCCAACGCCAGCCTGAGCGACGGTCCTGCTGGTTTGGTTCAGAGTTCAAGCTGCCGTCACACTCCTCAGCACAATGGGACTTTCTATTTACTCACACAATAGTTCACTTCTTGCGGAGTTAAAATCCCTTAAAAACCCAGCTTGAACAGACGGGCAGCAGCCACGCTCTGCGGCCTCAGCAGGAAGATGACAGGCGTTTTTTTACTTCACATGAATAATGATGTTAACAGAAAGTGAGGAGAAGTGAAGGGCCTCTAAGCAAAGTCTCCTCTGGGCTCCTGGTCGAGCGTGGGGCTTTTTGTATCGTTGGCATGACAACCTCTCAGCGAATGGCACAGCCAGTCCCATTGTGTCGCTCATTGTCTGTCGGGGGCCTTCCCAGCTGCAGGCATTCCCAATTTGGGGTCCAATTTTTCTGACAGATTGAGCCTCAGAAAGGTTAATTCTGCCAGCGGGACACATGCAGAACGAGGGCTCCTTAGTAAAAGTGAATAAAATGCTCCTTGATCCATGTCAGATTATACATGCTGATATTTAATTTTCCTTAAAGGGTTCATAAACCTCTCCCTTCACTGATATGAAAGTCCTCTTCTTTGTGGCAAGTCTGGTGTTTTAGAACGAACGTCTTCTGCAGTTTTAGGCCAACTTTTGGAAATTGTGTGACTTCCTACTGTACCAAATATGTTGTTTTCAGGAATGGAGAGAACTAATTGAACTTGGAACATTTTCTCAGCTGCAATCTAAGTAAGACGGTGACATTTGACATACAAGTTCTTCTTCCTGCTGCTTTTAAACAACACCTCTCCAAAAGACACAGCTTTGTGCTCCTCTACAGTGGCCAGAGCTTGTTGTTTTATCCACTGGACTTCAAGTGTCAGCACATTGATCCCCAGAGTTCACATTCAGCCGTCAGCTGAGTCCTCCTCAGACAGCAGCTGCAAACTCCACAAAACAAGGCAAAGAGAAAGAGGAGAGGCTCGTCTCATCTGTTTAGTCAAACAGACAAAGATTTGGGAACACGAGGGGAAAGTGCTCCAAACAATCTCACAGAGACACCCAGACAGCCTCCGCTGCATTATTCATCGCAGCCGGAGATGAAAACAAAGCTCTTCTTATCTTTTTCAATCACAGCCAAATGTCAGAGCAAATATTCAAACTGATCTTGTTTAAGGAGTTAGTTTAATACTGAGGGAAGTTATGCACTCAATGTTAAACTCAGTATGCATCAAATACCCATCTCAGGTAGTTGTCACCATCAGGAGAAAACTGATTCATAATAATTATTCTGTTGGAGTTTCTTCCTCCAATAAAAATTTGATTTTGTGTCATGCAGTTTTGATTTATTCATGGGTCAGCAGTTTTGGATTTTAAACTGTTGGCTCTAGGACTCAAAGCTGAAAAGGTAGAGATGAATAAGAAAGTTTCACAGCTCTGAAGATATTATTTACAAAACTATGTGACTTTCTTTCTTTTAGATACCTGGTTTGTCCTCCTGTCAAAGACACAATGGTCACTTTGGATCGGCAGATATTTGTCATTAACAAACATCCAGTAGTCTTTCTGATGCATAATTAATTTGTTCTTATCAGTTAATTGGATCAGGTGACTTTTTAAAGTTGTGTGGGTCAGACATCAGATGATAAACCAGACTCATCAGTACAGAGTGAAGGTTTTGACAGCAAACATGGTAGTTTGTGCTTTTTTTATCTTATTATATTATATAGATATTTGTATCTTAATGTGTGGTGTGTAAATGGGTCAGTTGATTGTACTAGGATATACATATTTTATACATATTTGTATACATATCTGTATATTGTATAATTGTATTTTTGTATTCGGGATTGTTGCAAACGTCATTTCAATCCCTCTGTCTGTACACACATACTGAAAGATTAACATTAAAGTTGACTTCGACATTTTTTGGGATGTAAACCAAACCCTGAAGCTTCCTTCCGCATCTCCCAAAATATGAAAGACCACTGTCAGCCATTGAAAGTTACAAGCAAACAAACAACATACAAACATTACACATGTCATCCATTGCCAGTCACAAGCTAACACATATAAACAAAATACAAATGTCTGCCAGTGCCAGTTATTAGCTAACAGGCTAACAAACATAAAGACACATGTTAGCCACTGCCAGTTACTAGCTAACAGGCAAACACATAACTTACCTTTCAGATACATCTGCAA